CATTAAGCATCCCCCATTAACAATCCCCCCCTCATTAGCAACCCCCATTAACCCCCGTTGCTAATTGCGGCCGTGCCGTTTCCCGCAGTGGACGAGGAGTTCGAGGCGGTGTCGGAGCAGCTGCTGCGCCGCACGCGCGCCATGCTCAACAAGTACCGGCTGCTGCTGCTCGAGGAGTCGCGGGTGAGCCCCAGCCCGCCCCCCGGGACCCCCGGGACCCCCGAGGGACCCCCAGGGACCCCCCAGTCCCGGGGACCCCCCTGAGCCCCCCGTGCCCCCGCAGCGCGCCAGCCCCTCGGCCGAGATGGTGATGATCGACCGCATCTTCATCCAGGAGGAGAAAACGGCGCTGGCGCTCGACCGGCAGCTGGCCCGGGACCGGCCCGGTGGGAACCCGGGATCGGGGCGGGAACGGGGGTGGGAAACCTGGGAATGGGGCTGGGAAACCCGGGAATGGGGCTGGGAAACCCGGGAATGGGGCTGGGAAACCCGGGAATGGGGCTGGGAAACCGGGAACGGGGCGAGAATGGGGCTGGGAAACCCGGGAACGGGGCTGGGAACGGGGCTGGGAATCCCGGGAATGGGGCGGGATCCATGGGAATAGGGGCGAGGCGCTGGACCGGCAGCTGGCCCGGGACCGGCCCGGTGGGAACCCGGGAACGGGGCGGGAACGGGGGTGGGAATGGGGCTGGGAAACCCGGGAATGGGGCTGGGATCCCGGGAATGGGGCGGGAATCCCGGGAATGGGGTTGGGATCCCGGGAACGGGGCTGGCGCTCGACCGGCAGCTGGCCCGGGACCGGCCCGGTGGGAACCCGGGAACGGGGCGGGAATCCCGGGAACGGGGGTGGGATCCCGGGAATGGGGCTGGGAACGGGGCTGGGAATCCCAGGAACGGGGCGGGAACGGGGCTGGGAATCCCGGGAATGGGGCTGGGAACGGGGCTGGGAATCCCGGGAATGGGGCTGGGAACGGGGCTGGGAATCCCGGGAATGGGGCTGGGAACGGGGCTGGGAATCCCGGGAATGGGGCTGGGAACGGGGCTGGGAATCCCGGGAATGGGGCGGGAATGGGGCTGGGATCCCGGGAACGGCGCTGGCGCTGGACCGGCAGCTGGCGCGGGACCAGCCCGGTGGGAACCCGGGATCGGGGCTGGGAATGGGGCTGGGAATGGGGCTGGGAAACCTGGGAATGGGGCTGGGATCCCGGGAATGGGGCGGGAACCCCGGGAACGGGGCTGGGATCCCGGGAATGGGGCGGGAATCCCGGGAATGGGGCTGGGATCCCGGGAATGGGGCTGGGAACGGGGCAGGGAATCCCGGGAATGGGGCGGGATCCATGGGAATAGGGTCGAGGCGCTCGACCGGCAGCTGGCCCGGGACCGGCCCGGTGGGAACCCGGGAACGGGGCTGGGATCCCGGGAACGGGGCGGGAATCCTGGAAATGGGGCGGGAATTGGGGTGGGAATCCCGAGAATGGGGCGGGAAAGGGACGGGATTCCTCGGAATGGAGCGGGAATCCCCAGGGATGGGGAGGGAATCCCGGGAATGGGGTGGGAATCCCCAGAGATGGGGTCGGAATCCTGCGAATGGGGCGGGAAAAGGGGCGGGAATCCCGGGAAAAAGGGGCGGGAATCCCGGGAAAAGGGGCGGGAATCCCGGGAAAAAGGGGCGGGAATCCCGGCGGGAATGGGGGCGGGAATCCCGGGAAAAGGGGCGGGAATCCCGGCGGGAGTGGGGGCGGAATTCCTGGGGGTGTTGGGATGGAATTCCCGCGCTCTGGGGTGGAATTCCTGGGCTTTGGCACCAAATTCCTGGGAATTCACCCAAAGGCCTCTGGAAAAACCGAGGGTCAATCAAAGGCTGATTAAGGGTCAATTAAGGGTCAATTAAAGGCCAATTAAAGGGGTCGATCCGGGGTCTCTCCAAGGTCCTGGTGCAGCCTCGCGATCTCTGGGATCAATCCCGCGGGAAAAGGGACATTTTGGGCGGGGAAAAAAAAGGGAACACGCCGGTCATTAACATGCAAATGAGCTCTAATTAGCGACCCCGCTCTTTTCCCTTGCAGACGAATACGTCTCTTCCTCCTCCTCCTCCTCC